AGCAGGCTCTTGAGGAAGGGACAGGGTAAAAAAGAGAAGGATAAATATAAGAAAATAAGATGGAGGGAAATACACAGTTAGCAATAATATTTGTGAATTTGAATGGGATAAACACCTATAAAATGGAAGACGATGGCAGAATGGAATTGAAACCAGAATCTGACAATACGTTGTTTACAGGAAACACACTTGAAACAGAAAGATACACAAAGATTTAAAATGAGGGGCTGGAGCAGGATCTATTATGCTTTGGCTGAAGTAAAAAAGGCAGGGATGGCAATCATGATTTCAGACAAAGTAAAAGCAAAAATATACCTAATTAAAAGAGAAACAGGGAAACCACATTTTACTATGAGGTACCGTAGACAATGAATTAGTATCTATACCAAACATATGCATCAAATGACATAGCATCCACATTCTTGAAGGAAAAGTTAAATGAATTACGGAAAGAAATAGACGGTATAGGGGAATCTCAACTTACCCTTTTAGATCTAGATAAACTTAACCATAAAAAATGAAAGAAGTTAAGGAGATGAATAGGATTTTTAAAAAGTTAGATATGATAGGCCTCTGGAGAATATTGAATAGAAATAGAAAGGAGCATATTTACACATGGCACCTTCACAAAAGCTGACCATGTATTAGGGCATAAAAACCTCACAAACGACTCAGAAAAGCAGAAATATTAAATGCATATTTTTCTGACCATAAGCCAATAAAAATTTCATATAATAAATGGCCTCGGAAACATACATTAAAAACTAATTGGAAACCAAATAACCTAATCTTAAAGAATGAACGGGGCAAAGAACAAATCATATAAACAATTAATACTTTCATTAGAGATCCTGACAACGAGACAATATACCAAAAGTTGTGGGATTTAGCCAAAGCAGCACTTAGGGGAAAACTTATATCTCCAAATGCTTACATCAATAAAAGAGAGAAAGAGCAGGTCAATGAGTTGGGCATACAACTAAAAAGACTGGAAAAATAATAAATTTAAACCCCCAATTGAACACCAAAATAGGAATCCTAAAATGCAAAAGAGAGATTAATAAAATTAAAAGTAAAAAAAGAAGTTTTAAAAAATTGAGCTAAAAAGGAAACCTAGCTTGCTTTTTGACAAACAAAATAAAACAAAACAATGAAATAGATAAAATATTGGCTAATTTGATTTAAGAAAAGAAAGAAGAAAACCAAATTACCAGTATCAAAAATAAAAACAGTGAATTCATAACCAAGGAAGATGAAATAAAAGCAATAATTAGGAATTATTTTGCTCAATTACATTGAAATAAAATTGGCAAGCTAAATGAAATGGATGAACATTTACAAAAATATAAATTGCCCATATTAACAGAACAGGAAACAGAATATTGATTAAAAGTAAATGATTGATTACAATTTGATTATGACTTCACAATTTTCCCCTTTGATTCTTGGGAGCCATTTCTCCCACAAATCACTTTATCTACGAACTTAATCTATATTGGCAGAAAGTATGTTACAAAAGCAAAAGAGTAATATAGAATTCATACAATTCAGCATATTCTCATTCTTGTTCTACGTTCCTGATTAGCATAATATTCTTAGGAGTCATATCTGAACTTGCTTTAGTATAACAATTAGTGCAGAGTTGACTACAAGGTGGAAGGATGATTATAAGAACTAAGATAATAAGGGTCCATTTAATTATAGTAACAGGGCTGCCTTCTCCTTGAAACCAGGAAAAGAGCCAAGGAGACGAATCTACTGGGAGCTGTTGTTACGTATAAGGGTTTCATTGGCATTCATTGAGTTTTTGACATGATTTGCTGAAGTTCATGAACGTTGGTGATGTCTCTTGACTGGTTAATGTTTTTTTTTTTTATTGTTGTTCAGGCGTGTCCACCTCTTTGTGACCCTGTGGACCACACTGTCCATGGAGCTTTCTTGGCAAAGATACTGGAGTGGTTTGCCATTTCCCTCTCCGGTGGATTAAGGCAAATAGAGATTAAGTGACTTGACCAGAGTCACACAGCTAGTAAGTGTCTGAGGTCAGATTTGAACTCAGATCTTCCTGACTCCAGACCCAGTGCTCTATCCACTGAGCCACCTAGCTGCCTCTGATTAATGTGGGAACAAGTGTGGTTGATAACAGCATATGCTCCGCCTTGGGCAGCAGGGAGAAAATCTAATGCCAGACAGTGCTGTGATGCCCTTACTACAATGGAATTGATCTCCACCTGAAGGAAGGTGATGGCAGTGGTCATTTCAGCTATGGCCTCGGTTGTCTCCTGAGCTGGTTTCTCAATCTCAGTAGAGGTGTTTCTGATTGATTTCATGGCATAGTAGGCTATCCCCAAATTCTGGAATAGAGACCAGAGAAATCTCTGCCCAGGGGTAGATGGAGCTGCAGGGTTTGCAGGCTGATAACCAGAATCTCTCTTTCTACATTCGTGCCACCATGCTCCCAAATTTCGAGCAATCTTTTTTCCTATTAGGCCCACTGAATGATTAAACATGGATTCTACTAGTACTAAGCAGAATATTCCACAAGTTCTCTGACAGCCAGGAAGGAGGGATACAAAGGCTTCTCCTGTACCAATGCAAAACTGGCCCAGGGTCATCAGTCCCCGTGGCAGCTCCAGAATCTTTGGGCACAATCCAGAGGCTGCTGTGTTATCATAAGGAAGAGTTACAAAGGTATTATCAGAATTGATCTGAGGGGAGCCTCTGGTGCTTTTGAAAACCCCTGTCTTAGCACATACAAAGAATTCTGCCCTATTTACATCAGGGATTGAAAAAGCATAGTCACGCTGTGCTGAGTTTTCTAAAATATAATACTGTCATTGATTTTTGTTTTGTTAACACAGAGAGGAAAAGTTGGCAAAGGCCATGCCAGCCAAAGAGGGAAGTCCTCAACTTATCGAAAGAATAATTGGCTCTGCCTGTGGTGAGAATCTGGGACATGTAAGAGGCTTCACTGTTAACGTTCACTGGCTGCGCGAAACCTGTTATGTTAGAATCTGCACTGCTAACCTTGCAGTTGGCAAACAAGGAATGGAGCGAAAGGAGAGGATGACATTGATGGGATGTCCCCCTCACTTGTACCTGATAGTAAAATAGTCTAATATCATTGTACTACACTGAAATGAGAACCCATGGGTCAGGAGTTCTCTGGTGGATGTGATAACAAACCCAATAGCCACGGGGTCCAGTAATCCTAGCATCTCCTAACTGTGCCCTATCTGACTTCGAGTGTTAATAATGGCATTATTTCTCAGCCAAACATTACTAGGAAGGGGTAAAACTGCAAGGAAAAAGAGCAGCTAGGTGATGCGGCAGATAGAACGCAGGCCTGGAGTCAGGAAGACTCATCTTCCTGAGCTGAAATCCGGCCTCAGACACTTAGTAGCTGGGTGACTGGGCAAATCACTTTCCCCTGTTTGCCTCAATTTCCTCATCTGTCAAATGAGCTGGAGAAGGAAAAGGCAAACCACTTCAGTATTTCTGTCAAGAAAATTCCAAAAGGGGTCACAAGGAATCAGACGCAACTGAATAACAACAATAGTAATGTTATGGCTGTCATTAAACAAAACCAGGGAGATCCATGAAAGAAGACTATAGTTCAGATAAAAGCCAAAGCAGGGGACAGTCCTTCCTTAGACCCTGCTCCTACAGAGGTCGCTGGCGTTCTAGAAATGGAAGATTCTGATAGGGAACCAGTCATTCGCTGCTTTTCCCAGGGAGCTGTTGAGTTGGAACGAGAACCAAAGTCATGCCACCGTAAAATCTGCCTCTTTGGCCATTACAGAGGTGTGGGGGAAGGGGATGCCTGAGGGATGAGGGAGGAGGAGGGGCCATTAAAGTCTGAGCGGGTCTGTCTTCTAGACGAGGGTCTGTCTGAGCCGTTCCAAAGCCCTTGTATCTGCCACCAAAAATCCAAAGGCAAGGGCAACTAGCCCAGCTAAGACAGTCATAAGGCAGCCACAAGACAGTTTTGGTGCAAATCCTAACAGGCAGAAAGAAGTTGAGCAATGTAGTATACAAAGTGAACAGGGGCCATTTTCCCACGCTGGATAATCTCCCCGAGTCAGGAAGAGCAGCACTTAGCCCCTGATTTTCTAAGCTAGTTGGGCTAGAGAGGGCAATGGACAGTGGTATCAGAATCAGGAGGGCAGTGTGGGACAGGGCCAGCTCTGCACGGATAATCCCAAAGATGAAGCCAAAAGTGAATGGTAAAGAGCAAAGTGACCGTTCTTCTCTAGGCGTTGGACTTCTTGCATTCTCAGAGGCATTGACTCCAGTGTGACAAGTTGCTTGGAATAATCACAAGACAAATTTTGCAATGGCCAGCCTTGGGCGTATTTATAAAATCAATCTGTAAACGTTCAAATGAAGGGTATGCCAAGGGACGCCCAGTGAACACAATATTAGAGAAGGCGTGCTGGTTAAACGCTCCGTAGGCACAATAAATATGAGCCAGCACAGGGGTGATAGCAGAAGAGACCCAAGACGGCCTTCCTGTGTCCACTATTCCCTGAGGGCCAAAACGGCCCCTCCCGCTTATGAACACACCTGGTGATAGAAGCTTAGGGGAGGGATGGCTTACCCTCCACAGTCATCCAGAGCCCGGAGACCCGTTCTACCTTGTACCACTGTTTCTGTTTCTTGGCCTTGGTGTCATGATGGATCAAGTCAATGTTACTGTAGAGAAGAGGAAGGGAGAAGTCTTTGCTGTTGGTCGTGGCAAGGTGAAACACAGGGGTGGGGCCATCCAAGGCGGCCGGTTTTGTAGCCGCATCAGCTCGGCAGGTACCTCGGGATCGGTGCCATTGGTGTGGGCAGAGCAGTGTGCAATGCTCTTGGGTAGCTGGATAGTGGTTAGAAGGTCTTTGATAAAGTCAGCATTCAAAACTGCCTTACTGGTGGAGCTTAAAACCGCCCCCCCCATCCTGGCAGACTCCAAAAGCATAGCATGAGTCAGTGTAGACATCGGCGCTTTGTGCACAATGACCTTGAGCAAGGCCAATGAGCTTGGCATCCTGAGCGCTGAGATTGGGTGGAAGAGAAGCAGACCATTGAGGATCATAATCAGAGACTATGGCAGCACCCGTGGACCGAATTCCATCCTTTATAAAAAAGGCGCCATTGGTGTGAAAAACCAGACGGGGATTCTGTAGAGGAATATCAGTAAGGTTATCACTGGGCCACACGAATCCCAACAGAACAGTCATGCAGAGACTGGCTCGAAGTCGGTAAATCAGGGAGCAGCGTGGTGGGCTTGAAGACAGAACCCACTCAAGAGCCACACCTGGCTTTCCCAATAGTCACTTCACTAGCAAGTTTCTGATCAGAAAAACCTTAACTGTGATGTCTCAAAAAAAGAGCCTCAACCTCACTAGGGCACTGAATGACAAATGGGATCCCTAAAACCAAGTTCAGAGGCCGTTACTACCAAAAGGGCAGTAGCTGCTGCGGCTGTCAAGCAGAGCAGAGCACCTGAAGCCACAGAACCCAGCTGGCACAAAGAGGGTCTGAGGTCTTGGGTGAGCACCCTCGGTGACACTCCCTTATGTTTGTTCATGTACAAAAAGAGAAAGGACTCATCTGGGAGTCCAAGAAAGCCTTCGTGAGGGTGGCGAGAGCCATGAGACATCCTGGTTCAGGTGGCAAGGGTTCTGGAAGAGTCTTTGGTAAGAGCAGTTAAAGGCTTGAGGTCTCACTAAAGATGGCGTCCACTGCTGGCCTTGGCCTACAGAGCCTGAGAAGGCACAAAGCTATTTTTTAGTCTTTGGAGTAGACAGTTGTTGGAAGACTTGCCTGTGCTTCAGACAAACAGCTTGGGATGCGGTCAGACTGGATGAAACCAAGATATTTGACCTAAGAAAGACATTACAGTACCTTTGCCTTGGAGACCTCATGGCCTCCCTGATGAAGTTGGAGAAGAAGGTGGTGCTGCCTTCTCGCTGGACTACGACATTGGTAGCTGCTCACAGGACATTGTCCACATTCTGAACAGAGTGGAGCCTTTAAGGGGATGAAAGCTAAATCCCGCTGTAGAATTTGAGAGGACAATGGGGGCCTCTCTACATACCCTTATGGTAGGTGGGCTTTCTGTCATACCAGGTTGGACCAGGAGCTTCCCTTGGTCCCAAGATCTTAAGAATTTTTCCAAGGCAGTTCCAGCAGGAACACTGTATTTCCCATGATTGTATCTCTTGCTTTATTTAGAAGCAACCCTTATTTTCCAATAATTAGAGTGATCTTTGCGCCACAGAGATTTTCCTGCTCATTGCCAATCAAAATCAGAGCAGATCTACACACCTTTTAGAGTCAAAAATCAAATTTACAACCTCGTCAAGTTCCTCGTTTGAAGCCTCAGAAATTCTGCTACGTGTAGAAAAGACTGTTCTTCTAGCATGACGAAGCCCTCTGCTTTCCAGAAGATTAAATCTCCCTCCCTCTGTGGGTACCAAAGCTTCTCCTAGTTGTACGAGGGCTTGCCCTATCTGCTGTATCACTTGGGAGTCAGAATCTGTCACTCAGGATGAACAACAAAAGAGACTGGAAAATAAACAAGGAAGCGCACGGAGTGTAGATTGACAGTCAGCTCTGTTAATTGGAAGAATTCCGAAGTTCTGCTTCCTAAAACTGTGCCGAATCACCCCCTCAGACTCGGCAAATACAGACTGGAACAGATCACGAAGACAATGACAGCCTTGAATCTCTCTGAGGTCCCTAGAGGTTGGGCTCTTCTATCCTTCCACCATTGATGCTTCTCCGTGTAACAAGGCTTCCTGCAGCTGTAGGAGGAACGTTTCCTCCTGTGTGAGTGATAAGAGTCTGTGCTGTCTGTCACAGGGAGTAGCCTATATTCAGAAAGGATTTCATCTTGGGCACAGGGAATCTCTGCGTTGCAAATTAGTTTCCCCCATTCCAGGTGCCACTCTATTTTCTGAGACATCTCAATAGGAAAACTCAGTTTGCCACAGTTATCCCTTCCACATTGTGTGGGTGGGTGGTGGGGTGGGGTGACCGGGCCATCTGGAAAATCTGCATAAAGTTTTTGACCCTCCCTTTTGTACCAGAGAATTACTTCTTTTTCTTTTATGGGGTGTTTACAGTACCTTCTTATAAAATTTGGGTTAACTTGGTCATAGGCTATATGTAGGTCAACGTTAAGTAAAAATACTAACCTTGTGTGTCATCTGCTGGCTTTAATGTTCTTTTTGCAAACTTTAACTTTTGACTTATCTTAACTTTAAAAAAGAAATTGTGTATATTTATGATATTGAAAGATAAAGTATGTGGATATCATATAATACCACTTTTTTATGCATTTCTGAGTTTCTAAACTTTTTCTGTGCTGTCTGCTGGCTTTTGCCTGTCGTCTGCAGCTTCTGTAAAACTCCTCCAAAGTTGCATTTAATTTCTTATGTTGAAAATATGATGGGTAAAGTCAAGATGTGGAAGGCATAACTGTATACTAACACACACACACACACACACACACACACACACAAGCACTCAGCAGACTCTTCCACTTTCAATGAAGATGTAGAAGCCAAGTTCCTGCTAGCTGGGAAAATCAGCAACGCTTCATCCCTCTAGACTCTTTGCCAGTTGCCACAATAAGAAAAACAAAAACAAACAAAACCTTTAGAGCTCTTTTACCTGCATTTGGGATTCCCAGTTATTTACAGAAGACAGAATTTATCTTACTTCCAAAAGGGTTTTTTTTTTTTTTCTATATGCAACAAAGATTCTTTAAATGGCAGAAGAAATGCTCTGTCTGGGCAGTCTGCTGATAGCAGGAGCTTAACTCCTATCTGCACCAAGGATTTCTCTTTCTCTAGGAGAGATTCCGCTATCTCTTTCTGGTAACAGGTGGGGTTCCCCTATAAAAAGATCCACAGTCAAAGTGGATAAAGGGAGAAATAGAATTCCCCAGTTGAATCTGATAAAGGGACAAAAATGTTCCCCAAGTAGGACAGACAAAGGTAATCCTCTAGGGTTCCCCAATCAAACAAGATAAAGGAATTTTCCTAGGGTTTACTTGAACTCAGAGAAAATTTGGATTGGACTTGAGGGGGAGTCCAATCTCCAGAGATGGTTCCCTGAAGAGAAGCCCTCAGTGAAATCAACTATAGTGTGCTCTAGGGAACTTTTTCAAAGGGCCATCCTGAAAACCAGAATCCCACACTGGAGTCCTGCTGAAGTCACCAATTGTCATGATTGAAATCTTTGAATAAGAGAAACCGAGGCAAAAAAAGTTCCAAGCAAGATACGTTTATTGGTAATGACTGGCTATTTGCTGATAAAGTAGGTCCCAGACCACCTTGGTTGGTACAAGGACCTTGTTGTGAACTTACAAGGATTTTTAGAGGTGTAAATGAGGAACTTTAAAATGGGGAACATAAACAATAAATGAGAAACATTGGTCACAGATTGAGGAACATGACATCGATTAACATGGGCATTTGTGATTTCTGATGGGCCAGCTCAGAGCTGGGGAACCTGCGGCCTCAAGGCCACGTGGGGCCCTCTAGGTTCTCAAGCGCAACCTTACAGTCAAAGGGTGGGCCAGGATATTACAAGAGTTTCCATTAATGTCATGGAATCTTTTTCGGGTGAATATCTCTGACAAGAACAGGAAACCTTCACAGGAATAGGGAATTTTAACAGATTAGCAGTACTCAAGGTGTGGGCGTTCCTAGCCCCATGTAATTATGATTTATAATCTATAACAAGGCTTTTACTAGGAATGAGGAATTTAGCTCACCAGCTACGCTCTGCAGGAGCTCAGCTTTACTAGTAGGGGACTGGGCCGGAGCCAATGCCCTGCTAGCCTGGGCACAGTCACATACACGCTTCTTAACCTACTACAATGTAAATTGATTGAAAGCAAATGATTGATTACAACTTTGTAAATCTACAACCAAAAGCAAGTATTGTCTGTAATGGGGACATGCTAGAAACCTTTCCAATAAGATCAGGCAGCAATCAATTAATCAATCAATAAACACGTGTTAAGTGCCTACTATGTGCCAGTCACTGTGGATATAAAAAAAGCAAAAAGTTCCTGCCTCAAGAAGCTTACAATCTAGTGACACTACATACAAACAAGTTTTATACAGGAAAATAGTAAATAATTAACCGAGACAAGGCACTGGAATTAAGAGGGGTTGGGGAAGGATTCAGGTGGAAGGTAGAATTTTAGCTGGGACTTAAGGGGGCCAGGGAGGCTGGTAGTTGGAGCAGAGGAGGGGGTTAGGCATGGAGGGACCGCCAGAGAGAATGCTTGGAGCTGAGAGATGGACGGTCTTGTTTGTAGAATAGCCAGGAGGCCGGTGGCACTGGATTGAAGAGTATGTGTTGAGGTGTAAGAGGCAAAAAGACTGGAAAGGGAAGAGGGGGCTAGGTCACGGAAGGCTTTGAATGCCAAAGAGAGCATTTTGCATTTGCTCCCAGAGACACTAGGGACAGTAACATTGTCAGACCCTCATTTTAGAAAAATCACTGTAGTGGCTGAGTGGAGGAGGGCCTAGAGTGGGGAGAGACGTGAGGCAGGCAGACCACCCCCCAGCAGCTATTGCAGCGATCCAGGCCTGAAATAATGAGGGCTTGCATCAAGCTGGGGGCAGAGCCAGAGGACAGAAGGAGGTGTATTTGAGAGACATTACAGAGGTGATATTGACGGGCCTTGGCACCATATTGGATGTTGGGGGGGGTGAAAAATAAGGGGGAGTCCAGGATGGCGTTGGGACCCTGAGGGACTGGGAGGAGGGCTGTGCCCTCTGCAATAACAGGGAAGGCAGGAGGGAAAGGAGGGCTTAGGAAGGAAGGTGATGAGTTCTGTTTTAGACACAGAGTTCGAGATGTCTGGTGGACATCTGGTTGGGGATTTCTGGAGATGGGGATCAGCAGAGAGTCTGGGGCAGGAAAAGGAGATTGGAGAATCATCAGCACAGAGATGGCCATTAAGTCCATGGGAGCTGATGAGATCACCCAGTGAAGTGGTAAAGGGGCAGAAGAGCAGAGGGCCCAGGACAGAGCCCTGGGGGACATGTAGGGTTAGAGGGTGTGACGCGGAGGAGGATCCAGCAAAGGAGACGGAGAAGGAGCGGTCAGAGAAGGAGGAGGAGAACAGGAGGTAGGGGGTGGGGAAGGGGGGAAGTAGCCTGAACTTCCAGAGAGGAGAGAATGCTAAGGAAGAGAGGGTGACGGACAGTGTTTGAGGCCACAGAGAGGCCAAGGAGAAGGAGGATGGAGAAGAGGCTGTTGGATTTGGCACCTAAGAGATCACTGGTAACATCATCAGCAGAATGATGAAATAGGAAGCTGGATTGTAAGGGGTTAAGAAGAGAGAAAGTGGGGGCCCCAGGGGAGGCAGCTTTTCCAGAATTTTAGCTACAAAGGGCAGAAGAGATGGAGGATGATAGTTAGTAGGGATGGAAGGATCAAGTTCGGGTTTTTCAAGATGGCGGAGACACGGGCAGGTTTGCGGCCAAAAGGAAATAGGTAGAGAGGGAGAGATTGAAGAAAAGTGACAGAGTGGGGATAGGGAGGTAGTCTGTTGGGGGAGAGGGGATGGAATTGGGGTCACTCGAGCACGGACAGGGGTCAAGCTGGGTAAGGGTGAGGCCACTTCATCCTGTGAGACAGGGGCAAAGGAGGAGAAGGGGGCATGGGGCACCTGAGTCATAGGAGATGAGAAGGAGGGGAGGGAGCTCAGTAGATGACTGCAATTTTTTTTTCCTGGATAGTGTAAGGCAACTTTCTCAGCTAAGAGGGCTGAGGAGAGCCAAGGATGTCCGTCATCACCATTGTTATTTAATATTGTAGTAGCAATCCTAGCTCTAGTAATAAGCCAAGACAAAGAAGGGGAAGGAATCAGAATAGAAAGCAAGGAAACAAAATGATCCCTCTTTGTAGACGATATGATGGTATGTACTTAAAGGACCCTGGAAATGTACTAGAAAACTCATCGAAACAATGACCACCTTCAGCAGAGTTGCAAGATAGGAAATAAACCCAGATAAATCACCAGCATTTCTACATACTACCAACAAAACCCAGCAGGAAGAGATAGAAAGAGAAATTCCACCTAAAATCACTGGGGGAAGAAGTCACCTTTTGATAAACACTGTTGAGCAAACTAGAGGTCCGGCTGGCAGAAACGAGGTGTACAGCAACATCTCACATCTTATCCAGGGGTGGGGAACCTGCAGCCTCAGGCTTATACCAAGATGAGCTCAAAATGGGCACGTGGTTTAGACCTGTGGGGTGATATCATGAGCAAATTAGTAGAGCATGGAAAAAACTACCTGTTAGATCTATAGGTAGGGGAAGAGGTCATGGCCAAACGAGAATTCAAGTTTCACAAGAGGTAAAATGAATAATTTTGATTACATTAAATTAAAAAGTTTTTGTACAAACAGAATAAGTGTAGCTAAAATTATTATTTTTAAAATATATTTTCATTTCATTAAATGTTTCCCAATTACATGTAACTAAATTTTAACATTCATTTAAAAATTTTTGAGTTCAAAATTCTCTCTCTCCCCACTCTTGAGAAAGCAAGCAATGTGATATTGATTTTACATGTGAAGTCATGCAAAGCATATTTCCATATTTGCCATGTCGCAAAAGAAAACACAGACAAAGAAGGAGAAAAACAAAGAAAGTTAAAAAAGTATGCTTCAATCTGTGCTCAGAGTTCATCAGTTTTCTCTCTGTAGGTGGATAACATTTTTCATCATGGTTTCTTTCAGAATTGTCTTGGGTCAATGCAGCTAAAATTATAAGAAAAGCAAGAAACTGGAGAAAAATTCTTTGCCCCAAGTTTCTCTGATAAAGGCCTCATTTCTCACATATATAAGGAGCTGAGCAAAATTTGTCAGAATAAAAGTCATTCCCCAATTAATAAATGATCAAAGGATACGAACAGGCAGTGTTCAGATGAAGAAATCAAATCTGTATACAGTCATGTAAAAATGCTCTAAATCACTATTGATTAGAAAAATGCAAATTAAAACAACTCTGAGGTACCAACTCATACCTATAAGATTGGCTAATACGATAGAAAAGGAAAATGACAAATGTTGGAGGAGATATGGAAAAAATTGGGACACTAATGCATTGTTGGTGGAGTTGTGAACTGATCCAACCATTCTGGAGAGCAATTTAAAACTATGCTCAAAAGGCTATAAAACTGTGCATATCCTTTGACTTAGCAATACCATGACTAGGTCTCTATCCCAAAGAGACCAAAGGAAAAGGAAAAGGACCCACATGTAAAAAAATATTTATGGCATCTCTTTTTGTGGTGGCCAAGAATTTAAAATCGAGGGGATGCTCATCAATGGGGGAATGGCTAAACAAGTTGTGGTGTATGAATGTAATGGAATACTATTGTGCTATAAGAAATGGTGAGCAGGCAGACTTTAGAAAAACCTGAGAAGATTTATATGAACTGATGCAAAGTGAAATGAGCAGAACCAGGAGAACATTGTACATAGTAGCAGCAACACTGTCTGATGATCAGCTGTGAATGACTTAGCTCTTCTCAGCAATACAATGATCCAAGACAATTCCAAAGGACTCATGATGAAAAATGCTCTCCACCTCCAGAGAAGGAAGTGGTGGAGTCTGAATGCAGATCGAAGGAGACTTTTTTTTCTCTTTCTTTTTAACTCTTGATGTGACTAATGTGGAAATTTGCTTTGCATTTCTATACCTTTTTGTAATGGGTTTTGGTTTCTTGAATTCTCAATGGGGGTGAGGGAAGGAACCATGAAAATAAAGCAAAATTGAATTTTAAAAAAGGAAAGAAAGTGGGGGTGGTAGTGGGGGAGGGTGCTTGCTGATCCCCAAGTTCCCTCCTGGCTCGAACACCAGAAGAGCTGCTTCTTTTTCTTGCTTGTTAAGGGTTACAAAGCACTTTCTTACTAACAGCCCTGGTTGGGTTAGGGGAGGCAGACTTATCATTTTACTGAGGAGAAAAGAGATTCAGAGAGGGAGGGGGTTGTATGTGTGTGGGGGGGAGGGGTGTAGGGGATGTCAACAAGCGCTGAGCTGATGAGTGCCTATGGTCGAAGCCAAACCCAGGACTCCCGGCTCTCCACACAGGTATTTTTCGATGACAAGGAATCACTGACTCACAGGACTGGGAGAGACTTTAGAATGTGGAATGTCAGGGCTGGGAGGGGCCCAAGAACAGGGGATGTCAGGGCTGGGAGGGGCCCGAGAACAGGGGATGTCAGGGCTGCAGTGGCCTTGGAACGAAGAATATCAGATCTTTAATCAGATCCCTAATTGGAAAGGTCCCTAAAGTCCCTAAGGAGGGGCCTGAAATCTAAATCTCTCATTTTACAGGTGGGGAAACCAAGTTTTGGGCGAGGAAAGTAGCCTGCCTAAAGTCAGACGGCGTGGGCCCTGGTACTCTGGTATCTCAAGACCTCGTGGCCTCCTCTGGTCTCCCCGTTCCTTGCTCTGTCCGTCTCTCTGGGCCCGAGGGGCTGAGCAGGCTTGGCCAGTTGAGTGACTAAAGCTGCTGCTCCTTCCTTCCCCTCCCACCTCCAGCCAGGAGCCTCTGTGCCTTTAACAGACGCTTGCCAAGTGGGCAGGCTGCCCTAGGCAGACCAGCTCATCACTCCCTGTGCTGACTCATAGGCATGAGCATGGGGGTGCTGCGGTCCCTGCGTGGATGGGGGCTTCTGGACTACAAGACAGAGAAATATGTCCTCACCCGGAACCGGAGGGTGGGTGCTCTCCAGAGGGTCCTGCAGCTTGGCATCCTGGGATATGTAATCGGGTAAGGGAGGAGGGGTCCTTGTGGGGGGGTATGAGAGTAAAGGTCCTTGTGGGGGGTGGGGTGAGAGAGGAGGGGTCCTTATGGGGGGGGGATAAAAGAGGAGAGCTCATTGTGGGGGAGGTGATGAGGGGGACGGGACAGCAGCCTTGGCTCCAGCTCTCTGGGAAAGGGAATTGGGGACAGACTTTGCCACAGACCAGGTGATCTTGGGCAGGTCCTTTCCTGTTGATGGGCCTCAGTTTCCTCCTGTGTAACATTAGGGATCTGAGCTACATGGTTCCCTTCCTGCTCGGACACTGTGATTCCGGGTCTCATCAGATTTATAGCTGGAAGGGACTTCAGAAGTGATTTAGTGCCTCCCCTCCTGCCCCACCCTTTCCATTTTATAGGGGAGGAAACTGAGGCCCAGAGAGGGTAAGTCACTTTGGCCGGGTGACACAGAGAGTAAGCATCGGGGTTGGGGTTTGAGCCCCAGGCCTATCTGTCTCTCCCTCCCACTATGTAGTCAGGATTGGATGCTGAGTAGGTCTCCTTTGCTTTGCCCCTCCGGGTAGTGAGCTCCTTGTCCCTTGAGGTGTTCAAGCACTGGCTATGGGATCGCTGGACAGTCAGGTCATAGAGGAAATTCCTGCACTGGGCTAAAGGTCGGACTCTATGATCGGAGGTCTTCCAGGCTTCACAGGCCAGAAAGGAGGGGGAATAGAGTTAGAATGCTGAGTCAGGGTGCTTTGTGGGCAGTGTCTTTGGCTAAAAAGCCACCTGTGTGGCTGCTGAGTGGCCCTGTGGCCAGTGTGCTGGACTGAGAGGCTGCAAGACCCAAGTTCAAGTCTTGCTGGAGACACATATTAGCTGTGTTTTCCGGGGCAATTCATTTAACAGCCACCTACCTCAGTTTCTTCGTCCGTAAAATGGGAGTAACCGTAACTCCTGCCTCCCAGGGTGGTCATGAAGAACGAACGTGGTAACATTTGTAAAGCTTCGCAAACCTTAAAGTGCTTTATAAGTGCCAGTGAGCTGTGACTGCGATTAATCATACCTAAGCCGTCTCCCTCACTGGGTCTGGCTAGCTTGGGTCAGGAAGGGTCATGACAGTGGGGACGAAGGCCCCGAGGTGGTTGGAGGTCTGTGCTGAGGGCCTCCGGGGCAGGCAGGGAGGACGTCCTGCGTCCCGGGAGGCGGAAGGAAGCCCTTCCTCAGGGGAGGGGAGCGGTAAGGCCTCTCTGGGCCTTCAGATGGGTTGGGGAGGGGCAGTCCGAGGCAGGGAGGGAGGCCATCCGGGAGGTGGTGACAAGGGTCTGGGTGAAAGCTGGGGAGCAGAATTGCTAATGGGCCAACCCATTGAGAAGCCCCCACTGCAGGGGTCCGAGATCAAGTCCGGGGCACACCCAGATGCTGACTCTCTCATCATAGACTTTCCCCATCTTGTGGCCGTCAGCTCCGTTTGCCAGCCCCCGGCACTGATGGCGCTCCCGGGGGATCCAGACTTCCGTCCCTCTCTGAGACGATGTGTGGGGAAGACCCAGGAGGGCCCTGATCTCTCTGAGGAGGCCTGCCTCCCTCCCTTCCCCAGCCAAGGCTGACCCATCAGCAGATGGACTGAAGACTGACCGATGGCCCCACCGACCGAACGAAGGAGGGAGGGGGTGACTGAGGGGGAGAGAAAGGACCTTCAGTCCTTTCTACTGTTGCCTGAGTCTCTTATTTTCCTGGGCAGGTGGTCTCTTATCTTCAAGAAGGGTTACCAGGAGAAGGAGTCTGATCCCCAGGTATCAGTCATCACCAAGCTGAAAGGGGTCTCAGTCAGCCAGATCGAGGCACTGGGAAACAGACTGTGGGACGTAGTCGATTACACGAAGCCCCCCCAGGTGAGGCTCTCCCTTCTTCCCTTCCTCTCCTGCTAGACACGGGAGTAGGAGGCTCCCATCCAAACCCCAGCTGGCTGCAGGGCCGCTCAGACTAGCCCAGGCCGGGTCCCATCACTGGCCATTGCCAACCTGTCCGGCACCAACCTTGTTCCTGGCTGGTTCCACCCTCACACACCTTTCCTGTTTCACCCACTGAATCCTCCTCCGTCCCTTAAAGCCCACCTCCAACGCCACCTCCTCCAGGAAGCATTCCCTGGTCTTTCTATCGGTGACAAACTTCCCCCAGACTCACCTGGCCCATCGTCCGGGGAATATTTCACATCCTGGCTACAGATGGCTAGCGCTTTCAATCAATCAACAGGCATTAGCAAAAATGCCTTCTACACGATGGGTACTGTGCTGGGGCTACAGAGACAAAAATAAACAGTGCCTCCCCTCAATGAGATTCCTTTTGACTGTGGGAAGACAACCTGTGCACATCTAAATAGATGCAGAGGGAAATCCAAGGTAACCCTGGAGCAGTGAGGGAAGGAGGGACCAGAAAAGCCCTCTCTCGATCGGAGCTTTGAGGGAAACTAGGAGTTTGACTAGGCAGCGATGAGGAGAACCTGCATGTCAGGCATAGGGTACAGCCTGGGCAAAGGTGGGGAGATGGGAGATGGAGTGTCTCGTGTGATGAACAGCAAGGAAGCTAGTTTTGGCTGGATCCTAGAGCACATGAAGGGGAGTGATATGACAGTAAGGCTGGAAAGGTAGGATGGAGCTAGACTGAAGGAGTCTGTATTTTCTCTTAAAGGTCATTATTAAAAATTCCTAATACAAATCAGAAAACCTCTGAAGGATGTCAGGCCAGGGGGAATGTGGTCAGACCTAAGCTTTAGAAATAGGAATTAGGAGCTAAAGCCGCAAACAGGGAGATAACTGTGCCTTATCTAAGCCTTGCATCATCCCAACAAAGGGCTCTGTATACAGTCGGTATTTAATAAATATTTTGTGGAAGGCATATCGAATTAGAAATGGTGCAGATTTGTGGGGAGAGGGTAGGATGAGGGGAGGTGGGGAAGGGGCTTCATCTGAGGAGGCCATTTGGGATGGGGAAGGGCCTGGTGTCCCCGTCATCCAAGCGCCATTCCCAAGAACTGAGGGTGTTCAGCCCCTCGAAGAAACGGCTGGGGACAGGATCGACGGTCGTCCGTGTCTCGAAGTATCTGAGAGGGCTCCAAGTGCAGTTCTGCTTGTCTGGGGCAGAACAAGAGGCGTTGGGGGGAGGGTGCGAGGAGGGAAGTTTGGGGTGTCTGTGTGTGTCTCTACACTGTAGTATGGTTGTTTCCGGGGATGGGGGATGCTGGGGTCTGGGGATGGTGGGGAGGAAGGACCCTTCAGCACGAGGCCACTGTCACCGGGGGGTTGTGAGCAGAAAGTACACCCCAAGCAGGGGTTGCTTTTGGCACCCTCTGATTTCAGCCCCTGGGGACAAGGCTCTGATTGCCCTGCCTTAGTTCTGTCTCCGGGGCCCCTTCCAGATCCAAGCTCTAAGGTACCCTGGGTCCTTAGAGAAGTTCTAGCCCAGGTCTCTTGTCTCTTAGGGAGAGAACGTTTTTTTCCTGGTGACTAATTTCCTTGCCACACCAGAGCAAGTGCAGGGGACGTGCCCAGAGGTAAGACCCTTGTTGGAGCCCCCTGCCACCCTGGGGTCTTTGGCAGGGCCCTGGATCTGCTTCTCCCTGGCCCCTGTCCTGGGGAGGAGGGACAGCCAGAGCTCCAGCCTCCCTTCCCTGCCCCCAGCCCAGCCCAGCCCAGGGAGGAGAACTGGAGGGAGCTCTTGGCTGCCCTGGGGGCCAGAGGAAGCCCTGGGTAGGGCCAGGTTGTGGGCTGCTATCTCAAGGCCGTGGGAAGGAGGGCCTTGTGGGGCCCAGATTACAGAAGCCCCTGAGCTTCTGAAACAACTCCAAAGCACCAAAGCCAATTCCACTGAAGACAACCAACACACATTAAGAACCTACCATGCGCTAGCAAGGCAAAGCCTGGTGTGATGAGAGTGCTTGGGGCGGCTAGGTGGCTTAGTGGATAGAGCACTGGCCCTGGAGTCAGGAGGACCTGAGTTCAAATCCGGCCTCAGATACATAACACTCACTAGCTAGTCACACTAACTGTGTGACTCATGGTCACACAGACCACGGGCAAGTCACTTCACCCCATTGCCTAGCTGAAAAAAAAAAAGAAAAAAAAAAGAAGAGAGTGCTGGACCAGCTGGTCACAAAGAGCTGGGTTCAAATCCCACTCCTGACACTTAGTAGTGGGTGGTCTCAGACAAACCACTTAGGCCCCTCTGAACCTCAGACAACTCTCCAGATGGGCTGTGATCTGTCTCGGTGGACAGACCTCCCACATATGACCCATGGACACATGTATGAGGCACCCAAACCCCCAGTCCTTAGATGCTTGAGAATATCAGAGGTGGGGAAGATGTCAGCCCTCCTCCCATCCCGTGCAGGCATCTCTTCTGTATCTTCCCTAACAGGGAGTCATATCTGCGGTGATGGGGAGCTCACTACCTGGCACGGCAGCCCACTCCATTGTCAGGATGGTCTTCCTAATTGCTCTGATAGGGGTTTGGGGACTGAAGTGTTCTGGTTGGAGCAGTTCAGGGGGTCAAGCATTGTCTTTTAGTCTAGAGAGGCCGGGCTGTCAAAAACTGCATGAAGGAAAAGGGACAGGTGCTGTAGGAGAATGGATATAAAGCAATGTGCCCCTGGAAGGCAGGGCAGCGGACACTCCCTCGGGCAGGCCAAGCAGGCCCAGGCTAATCCCTCCTTCACTCCTCAGTCCTTCAAATACGGGAAGACAGTCTCCCTGTTACCCCGAGTCTCCCTCTTCTCCCCTCCCCTCTGGTCTCCCTTCCTCTCTTCTGCTCTGCTCTGACCTCCTGTCTCCCCATCTCCTTCTCTCCTCTCCCTCCCCATCTCCTCCTCTCCCCTCTCCTTCCTCTCCCTCCCCATCTCCTTCTCTCCTCTCCCCCCCTCCTCCCCCTCCCCTCTGATCTCCTTTCCTCTCTTCTGCTCTGCTCTGACCTTCTGTCTCCCCTCTCCCTCCCTCTCCCCTCTCTGGGTTTCAGTTTCCTCCAGGTATGATGATGGGGGGTGGGGGTGGAGGTGGACTAGATACTCTCTGAAAGCCCTCTGTGATTCTGGGGGGATCTGTTTCTTTGGAAGGATGGTAGCTCACGCTTCCTCTTCCCTCCCCCACCCCAGCACCCCTCTGTTCCTCTGGCTCCCTGCCTGGCTGACGAGGACTGTCCGGCTGGAGAGATACTGAGCCACAGCCACGGTACCGATCTCACGCCTCATCCACTACCCAGGCGGTCTCCCAGGGGGGTGCTGAGCAGTGAGGACTAGCGGGTACCCCTGGGGCAGCTGGGTGTCCTTCTAATGCCTCCCCGACTTTTTACCCCTGGGCCCCTCCTCTGGACCTCAGGGCACTTATTAAGTCGAAGGACACCTGGGTTGGAATCCCAGGATCTGAGTTCAAATCCTGATGGTCTCCTGTGTGACCTTGGGTCACCCCTGAATTCTCCAGGCCTCAGTTTCCTCTTCTGTAAAAATGAGGGGAGGGGGTTTGGTCTCTGAGGTTTCTCCCAGCTCCAAATTCCATGACCCTATGATCTTCCTCTTAGACCAGAGATGCTTGGCTCAGGTCCTAGCCCAGGCTGGAGCCCAGGTGGCCCCAAGCTTAGAGAGGAAGGACTCTGGGTTGGCTTCTGTTCCAGGAATCAAAACTGGGAAGTGCGTCGTGTTTAACTCAACCTACCAGACCTGCGAGATCTGGGGCTGGTGCCCTGTGGAGAGTGGCGGCACGTCCAGGTCTGCCTGTCCCCTGCTCTGTCTGGCCTGCTCCGTCCCGGTGTAGTCGAAAGAAGCCCCTGGGTGCGAGTCTTGGCTGGGTGACTGAACGCATCATGTCAGTCTTCTGGGCCTCAGTGTCCTCATCTGTAAAAGGGGGATAATAATATTCATCGCTGCCCACCTCCTGGGGTTGCTGTGAGGAAAGTGTGAAGGGAGGGAAGAAATCCCTGTGGGTCAGGAGAGCTGGATTTGAGGCTCAGTTCTGTGGCTAACTCACTGGCGACCTCGAAGCCCTCTTTGTAAAACGGGGGAGGTGCCCTGGCTTTGCCCCGTCCCGAGGCTCCTAGGAGGCTGAGGGTCTGCGTTGGGCCCAGCCGCCGTTGTGTGCTGAGGGGCAGCCTGGGGCGGGGGCGCCCTGGCAGGCCGCAGCCTCAACCTTCTGCGGCTCCCCCTCCCAAAGGAAGCCTCGGCTGCTGGAATCGGAAAACTTCACCCTCTTTATCAAGAACTCCATCACTTTCCCCAAGTTCAACGTCTTCAAGTGAGTGGCTGGTGTGGGACGGGGTGGGACAGGGTGGGGGCTCTGGGAACAGCCTCCCCCGAGGCTGAGGGAGCTCTGAGGCCCTCCACCCACCTGCCCAAGCTTGGACATTGTGTTCTAAGGTTCCTCCCAGCCCCGACACTCCCTGTTCGAAGGGCCTTTCTGGGTTCTAAGGGCTCTCAGCTCCATGGTCCCACCATTCTAGGAGCTCTGTTGAATTCTGGGGTCAGAAGCCACCTTCTAATTTGTTTGGGAATGTCGTTCCCCTTCCCAATGTCCCTGCTGGACACACAGGTGGGCTTTTGTCTCTCAGGACCAACACTTTGGAGACACTGGATAACACCTACTTCAAGAGCTGCAGGTATGATGCCCTCTTCAGCCCTTTCTGTCCAGTCTTCCGGGTGGGGGATGTGGTGAAGGCAGCTGGAGGGGACTTTGAGGACCTGGCCCTCTCGGTAAGTGAACCTGGGGGTGCGAGCTCCCAGGCCTCGCCCTTGGCCCCAGCCCCATGACCCCCAGTCTGTCTATACCCACACTCAGAGGGGCCCCATGACCAGGCTGGATGGGCTCCTGGCCCCAGTCACCCAGTCTGCTATATCCATCCTCAGAGGGACCCCATGGCTGGGGCTCGATGGGCCTCTGCCCCATTGCTTTGAAGGGCAGGGACAAAAAGTAGGGGCAGTTGAGAGCACTGCATGCAAACCCAGAGGACTTGAGTGCAAATCCTTACTCCGTCACTGCCTACCTGGTGGACCTTGGGCAAGTGCCCTAAGTCTTAGTATCCTGGTTAGCCCAGGTGGCCTCCGGGATTAGATTAGGTAGGAGCCCACGGTCCTAGCCATGGATACTGTGTGACAGGAGGGTGTGAAATGCCCCCTCTGGGCTTCAGTCTCCCCTCCTGGCTCTGCCATGCTGTGATTCCACAGTGTTCTGGGGACTCTGGGTCCTGACCCCCCAGCCCGGGCTGGTAGCCACTGTTCGCAGTGACCAGCGGGCTTCTGCTTTTGGCAGGGAGGAGTTGTGAGGATCCAGATCAGCTGGGACTGTGACCTGGATCGCCCTGGCATTGAATGCCAGCCCTGTTATTCTTTCTGGCTGCAGGAGAAGGGCTATAATTTCAGGTGGGGGTCCAGGTCCCCCATTCGTGGAGGGAAGGTGGGGTGGATGTTTGTGTGCTCGTTCACTGTTGGGGAGGGAGCTGAGGGGCCACAGTCCACCCTGGTGTGGTCTGTTCAGGGGTTCCTGTGTCTTCCAGCTCTCCTAGCCGTGCCTCCTCCCGGGGCCTCAGTTTCCTTTTCTATAAAATGAGAGACTGTCTTAGGCACTGAGCAGCCTCTCCCTTCAACTCTGGTCATCCAGTTGTCCCCGTTCTCCAGGACAGCTACACACTGGTGGAAGCCTCCGGGGATGGAGGCCCGAAGCCTCTTCAAACTCTTTGGGATCCGATTTGAAATCCTCGTGGCTGGGCAGGTAGGGGCTGGGCCTGGGTGCGTGGTGGGATGGAAGCCGGACGGTCCAGCAGTAGATGGAACAGGTCGAGGGCCTCCTCTGGGCGAGGACAGTGGGAGAAGGCGGGCAGAGGCCAGGAGACCCAGGCTTGGATTTCACTGTCGGCCTGATCTTGGCCAAATCTCTTCTCTGGGCCTCAGCTTCTTCATCTATCAGATGAGTGGGCTGGCCTACATGGTCCCCTAGATTACCTCCAGCTGCAGGTCCATGAAGCTACGACCCTATTTTGATGATCTCGGGCCTCTGTTCTTACCTGCAAAGCGTGCAGGTCAGACTAGGTTATTCCTAAGAGACCTTCCTGTCTAAAGCCCCTGGTCCACCCCCGAGGCCAGCACGGGGCCCGGTTGGAGGCTGCACTGGGAGCTCCCGGTAGGGGAGGCCCATGGCCTGAGGACCTCCCCTCTCCCAGGCTGGGAAGTTCAGTGCCGTCTCTACGGGGATCACGCTGGGCACGGGCACGGCCCTACTGGGGATGGTGAGTCTGCTGCCACCTTTCTCTCTGGCGCTGCCGTAGGTATGTGTATTGGGGGTGGCGTGGGAGAGGGGGGAGTACTCCCGGGGGAGGAGGAAGAGCCCTCCAGCCCCTGGAGACTCGGACCTGCGGGGCGTGGGGTGCTCTGGCTAGCCTAGTGCCATCCGTCCCTGCAGGTCACCTTCCTCTGTGACCTGCTCTTGCTTTACGTGGACGGAGAAGCCCCTTTCTATTGGGGGAAGAAGTATGAGGAGGTGAAGGGCTCCATCCCCTCTGCTCCTTGTCCCATGACCGAGCCTGGCCCGGGGGTCTGTCTGCTCCCGGGGCAAGGTCTGGCAGGGGCTGTGGGGAGGGCTGGGGGCTTCATCTGAAGCTGGAAAGGACCTGTAGTCCAACGCCCTCGTTGATACATCCAGTGGGTGGCTGAAGGTCATGCATGGATCTGAGTCAGGCCTCCCCCCCCTTGGGCACCCCACCCCCCTGGGCTGGTGGTTCATTCCGCTTGGGCCAAGGGCTCTGACGGGTCACTGAAAGGCAAAGGAAGCATCCATCCTGGCAGCTTCTGCCCAGGCCCATTCCCGTCATCCCCGATGTCCTTTGGGCCAGGCACCAGGGCCTGAGCCATCCCTCTGCCTGCAGGCAAAGGCCCCCAAGATCAAAGGGGAGCCAGAGCCGGCCTCAGCATCGGGGGATCACGAGGGGCCCGTGGGTTCTTGGTCACAGTCGAGCCCAGCCATGAATTCCGATCTCACCGCTGGCAAGGAGGGCCTGGATACTGGCACGGCCTAGCCTCAGGCTGCCTGAAGGACTCCAGCCAACACCGCTTCCACACCCCTGGGGCTCCAAGGCTGCAGTTCATTTATCACTGCCTTTCCTGAAAGAGCCCAGGATGGCTCCTGAGACCGGAGACGGCCACATGAGTGCGGTTCTGGGCAACAGCGGCATGGGCTGCTCCTTTCTTGGGGCTCCCATTGAGGGAGCTTGAATCCTGGCTTGGGCTGGGCCCGTGCCTCACCTTGGGCCTCTGTGTCCTGGTCTGTTAAATGAGGCCTTGCACCAGATGGCACCTGAACTCCTTGATCTTTTGCCCTAGAGCCCCTCCAGAGGCTCTGACCTCCATCCACAGACCTTCTGGGCACCTTCCTCTACCTCTGGCTGTGGGGCTTGGAGTCTGCCCACCCTGCTGCTCAGGTCACTACGGCCCCTGCAATAATGAGAAAACCTCTTCCCCAGCTCTGTGACTCATTGAGGGGGTGTGTGTATGTGTATGTTTGTGTGGTGTATGTGTGAGTGTGTGTGCACACGTGTGTATGTGTATGAGACAGTGTGTGTGGGGTATGTGTGCACACACATCTATGTATGTGTGACAGTGTGTGTGTGGTGTATGTGTGAGTGTGGGTGCACATGTGTGTGTGTGTGTATGAGACAGTGTGTGTGGGGTATGTGTGCACACCCATCTGTGTATGTGTGACATTGTATGTGTGTACGCGTGGTGTGTATGGTTGTGTGGTATATGTGTGTGTGTGAGACTGTGTGGGGTATGTGTGCATGCACATCTGTGTATGTGTGACAGTGTATGTGCGTGTGGTGTGTATGGTTGTGTGGTGTATGTGTGTGTGTGCACATGTGTGTGTGTGTGAGACTGTGTGTGGGGTATGTGTGCATGCACATCTGTGTATGTGTGACAGTGTGTGTGCATGTGGTGTGTATGGTTGTGTGGTGTGTGTGTGTGCACACGTGTGTGTGTGTGTGAGACAGTGTGTGGGGGGTATGTGTATACACGTATCTGTGTATGTGTGACAGTGTGTGTGGGTGCGTGGTGTGTATGGTTGTGTGTGCATGCACGTGTTTGTGGTGTGTGCACACACGTGTGAGTGTGTAAAAGGGGGGGCAGTGCACAGATCTCAGACAGTGCTTGAAGGGGCCTCAGTGGTCAGCCACCCCTACACAAAAGGGGCCCCCACACCATCTGCCCGACGAGCGGCCGGACTGCCTTTGCTTGGAGACGTCTGGTCACGGAGAGCTCACCACCCCCCGAGCCAGCCCACTCCACTTTGGGATGGCGATCCTCAGTGTTTTCCCCTACAAAATAACTTGTTATGGTAGCGTCTGTAAAACCCCAGGTCACTGAGCTCCCTCCCAGCTCTGACATCCCCTGTTCTAAGGCCCTTCCCAGCTCTGACAACCCCTGTGGCCCCTCCCAGACCTGACATCCCTTGTCCTGAGGCCCCCTGTTCTGAGGCCCTTCCCAGCCCCGACATCCTCTGTTCTGAGGCCCTTCCCAGCCCTGACATCCCCTGTTCTGCCTGACATCCCCTGTCCTGAGGCCCCTCCCAGCCCTGACATCCCCTGTTCTGAGGCCCCTCCCAATCCTGACATCCCCTGTTCTGAGGCCCCTCCCAATCTTGACATCCCCTGTTCTGAGGCCCCTCCCAATCCTGACATCCCCTGTCCTGAGGCCCTTCCCAGCCCTGACATCCCCTGTCCTGAGGCCTCTCCCAGCCCTGACATCCCCTGTCCTGAGGCCTCTCCCAGCCCTGACATCCCCTGTCCTGAGGCCCTTCCCAGCCCTGACATCCCCTGTCCTGAGGCCCTTCCCAGGTCTGACATCCCCTGCTGTAAGACTCCTCCCCGCCCTGACATCCCCTGTTCTGAGCCCCCCAGCTCTGCCACTTTAGCCCCATGTTATTGAGAGCTCAGGAGCCTTGGGGAAGGTGTAACAATACTTTTAATGGGGCTGTTTCAGCTTAGGTTTGACAGGGAAGGCTAGGCAGTCGGAGTCAGGAGGTTGGCCAGGAGATGGACGTGGACGCTTGCTCATTCTTCCCCTGCCCCGCCCCGCCCCATCCCCATATTCCTAAGGAGAGCCAGGCATGGCGACCACTGGGCTTCGAGGCCTGCCACAGGCCAAGCGTGAGTGACCCACAACAGTCAGGCTTCCTCCCGCTCCACACCCTCAGCCAAAGACAAGCATGCGGTCAGAGTGGCCTTCATCTTGCACCTTTCCTTGAGATGACAGGGCATTCCTTCTGCAGGGTCTCTGGTCTTGGTGGTCCTCATCTTTCACCAGCGCTGCCTCCAAGGATGGGCCTTCTCATCCAGCAGCTGCCCCCACCCCAAACACAGCGGCATAGACTGGATTCTCATGACCCTGGCTCAGCTGGGCTCTTTAAATAGATTCCTCATGAACCCAGGAATGCTTGGAAGCCTTTGGGAGGTGGAGTGGAAAGCCAGAGACAGGTGCAGTGCAGCACAGAGCAGCCCCGCCCGCTGGCTCTCCCTCTCCTGGAAGGGAGCTGAGCATGCTGTGAATCCCACTTCTGACACCCGGCAGGGTGAGGGCAACCACTTGGCCTCCAGAGCCCTCAGGAACCCTCAGCCACAGGAAGGAGAAGGGAGTGAAGGGGGAATAGAAGGGGGGGAGGAAGGGAGGGGAGGTACCAGGGTTCAGGCGGGAGGTGGAGACACCAGCACCCCATGGGAACCCGGCTCTTGGAAAGTGAGCTATGCGGACCCCAGGGGGCTGCCCCAGGCGTGCCCTGATGGGCCCCTGCCTCCTGGCCTCGCCCCTGCCCCGCCCCTGCCTCCTGGCCTCGCCCCAGCCCCGCCCCTGCCTCCTGGCCTCGCCCCAGCCCTGCCCCTGCCTCCTGGCCTCGCCCCAGCCCCGCCCCTGCCTCCTGGCCTCACCCTCCTCTGCCCAGGACAGACCCAGTCATCTCCAGGCCTCCCCCTTAGAGTGTAGGCTCCGGGAGGGCAGGGAGCCCGGGGCCCAGGGCCTGGCACCTGGGGCTCAGGAAACGCTTGGACGATGTCTCATCTGCACCCAGGTACTTTCATGTTGACTTCTTCTTTAGACTGGGAGCCCCCCGAGGGCTGGCACACAGTACGGCTTAACTAATGATTGTTGAGTGACTGCCTGATGGCTGGGGGGAGGGGGAGGGGCGCCGGCCACGGTCCAGCCCGGCCTCAGGCCACGGGGCGGTAGAGGAACTGGCCGCAGAGCACCCTCCGCTTGAGCTCCTTCCTCAGCAGCTGCCGCTCGCGCTGCGCCCCCTTCATTATCCCGCGGTTCTCCAGGGCTCGGCGGCACAGGTACGGCAGCACGTCCTTCACGGGGCCGAACGGGACGTATTTGTAGACCGGGAAGCCAGCTTGACCTGCCAGGCCCCGCAAAAAGCCAATTACTCCCCACTCCAGACTGTCCTGGGGGAGGGCCAGCTCCCTGGGGAAGCCTCCCAGGAGCACCAGGGCGCGGAGGCCCGCGAGGCGCAGCTGCCCCTGAGCGAGAAGGACCCCGGTTCCTTCCCGAACAAGTGGTCATTGTCCAGCCTGCGCCTGGAGTCCCAGGGACGGGAAGCCCGTTGCTCAGATCAGGCTCGGGGGGCCTCTGGACCCTCCTCTCCCTCAGCCCCTTCGATACATGGCTCCGATCCAGGACGCGGCCTGGCCAGGGCCAGGGGGACCCTCGTGCGGCCCATGGTCACTGCGGCTCTCCCGCCGCCACCTCCCACCCAACGTAGCTCCAGCTTCCTGCCTGCAGCTTTAGCAGGCCTCACGCACCCGCCACCTCGTACATGGGACCCGAGGATCCGGCTTTACCTCTCCTCCTATCAAATCTCAGCCTGACCCACATCCCTATTTCACTTTAAGGTGTGTAAAGGGTGTCTTGTTGGTATTTCTATCCCCATTTAACGGACGGGCAAGTGGAGGCTCACGTGCCCTGAATCTCCATCAGAAGGCACTGGGGGTCTGCCACCTTCCAGACACCTCTGATTGCCGGCCTGGGGCCTAAAGGTGTCCCTCTGCAACTTCCCACTCCATCTGGAGCCAAGGCCTCGCAGCCCCTGCATTCGAATTCCACCTGTGGCACTCGCTACCTGGCCGACCTTGGTGGCCATGGCAGTCATAAGGATGGTCTCAATCACCTCCCTGGGCCTGCCTCAGTTTCCTTGCCTGTAAGCTGCCTGGCTGGCTCTGCAGGGAGGATCCTAAGTTCTCTCTAGGTCTTTCCTTTCCCCTCCTCAGCCCCCTCAGCGCCCTCATAAGTTATGGGTTCAGCTCCTGTGTCTCGATGACTCCTGGCTTCTCCAGCCTATGGCTGGCCCTGGAGTCCAGAGAGACAAGGGCCCGGCCCCTGCCCTGCCCTCTCCTGTTCTGAAGCTTCCTCATAAGCCCTGGGGCCATGGCTGGGGCAGATGGGGGCACGCCCCAGGGCAGAGCCCCTTCCCCGATGCCGGTAGCCAGCCTTCTGGGATGCCTCTGGGGGCGGGGGACACCGGCTAAACAGATGGCGAGAGGTGGGAGTGGGCACCACTCACCCAAGGGGAAGGAGATCTGATCACACATGCCCAGGAGCTGACCAAAGTATACCTTCTTCTCTGCGGGATGCAGGCCGAGCTCTTCCATCCTGCAAACCAAAGGCCAGGGGTAGGGGAGAGCCAGACCCTGGAGGGAACCCCCCAACCTGGCTGCGGACCCTCGGGGCTTCATCCAGCCTCCGCCTGAGGGTCTGCAGGGGGTCTCCGGAGACAGAGACCTCACCACCATGCCCGAGGAGTGGCCCGCCCCACTAGGGCTGGCCAGAGACAGAGACCTCACTACACGCCCGAGGAGTGGCCAGGGATGGAGACCTCACTACACGCCCGAGGAGTGGCCAGGGACAGAGACCTCACCACCATGCCCGAGGAGTGGCCAGGGACAGAGACCTCACTACACGCCCGAGGAGCTGGCACGGACGGAGACCTCACCACCATGCCCGAGAAGCGGCCCGCCCCACTGAGGGTCAGCACTGATAAGCAGTAAGGCCCCCTTCGTACCACGCCCGACTCTCCTTCCCTTGGAGGCCAGGCAGAACAAATCTCACTGGTCTTTTGTGCACCAGCCCCGGGCTCAGAGCCCAGCGGATGCACATTCCCGTGGACCGCCTGGCTCACCCCATGCTCCTGCTTCTAGACCCCGGTGTTAGTCCCGGCTCCTGCCCAGGCCAGCTCCAGGCCCCGGGGCACACCCTGCTCCTCCCTCTGCATCCTTTCAGATAAGGGGTGGGACTAGCCCCAGGAGAGGCCCCATGGGACAATGTGGAATTGGAGTCACAGGCCCTGAGTTTGAATCCTGCCTCCTGTCTAAAGGAGGGGGCTGGGCTGAGGGCCTCTGACCCCGCGTCCTCTGCACCCATGTAATGGCCCACATTTCTTTGGCACTTTAGAGCGTCCTAATGTTTTTTTTTTCCCACAACAAACCATGAGGCAGTATGGACACCTCGATTTGGGGATGGGGAAACTGAGGCTCTGAGAGGCAGCAGCAGCGGCTGGAGCTGCAGCCCAGCCTCTGGAGGTGGGGAGCTCCAGGTGAGGAGCCGCCTCTCTGTGCAGATCTCCACTCCTTTGTGCCTCCCCTCCAGGATAGGCAGAGGATGGAGCCCAGGCTCTGCAGCCCCTCCGACGTCCCACCCAGCTCCCAAGTGGCTCGTTCCTAGACCTGGGCCCTCTTCCTTGACGCTTTCCCCCTCTCAAGGCTTGGGGATGGGAGGCAGAGCCGGGGCTCGGGGTCCCTGCTGCCCCCTGGAAGGAGCCCCAGGAAAGCTGGCAGCAGCCAAGAGTCGAACCGGGAGCCAGTGAGAGGCCCAGGAGACCCTCAGCGCCCCCCTAACGGTGCCCGTTCCTCTAGGCTTCGGGCTGCAAGGCAGGAACGATCACCCTCGTTTTCTGAAGGAGCTCGGGGGGCCTTGCCAGGGCCTGGTCAGGGGTGCAGACCTAGGAAGAGGGGGAGCCAGGGCTCCTCCTCCTGCTCATGGCTCTCATCCCCATCAGGAGGGGACCCCTCCCCCCGAGGACAGGCAGGAGCTCATCCAAACTGACTCCTTGCATGCAGCAGGTGCCTAATCTTGTGGGTCAAATGAAGGGGCAGGACCTCGGGGGAGGGAGGCCTTGGGGTCTGCTGAGGCGGGGTGAATCCGGAGGGTGTCGGCGCTTGGGCGGGCACCTCTCCCCAGGGATGCCCAGCACATGCCCCCCCTTGTTCACAGAGGAGGAAACTGAGGCACCACGTGTCCCCAGCCCACCTGGGGCAGAAGAAGGGGACACAGGGTGGGTGTGTGGCTGGCCCAGCCTGCCCGCGGGAGGGCCCCCACCTCTGAATGGTGAACCTGACTGAGTCCTCATTGTGAGAAGCCACCATCACGCTCGCCCGGCTGTTGAGCTTGATCTCTTCCAAGATGTGGCTGAGGCACCTGAAGGGAGCAGAACAACCGTGAGGACCTGCAGAGATCTCAGGGGCCTGCATTTTACAGATGAGGAAACTGAGGCCCAGAGGGGTTAAGTGCCCAGGATCACTCTGCTAGCGGGTGAGTGTCCAGGGAAGGATCCGAACGCACGTCCTCCCAACTCCTGGCCAGGCTGTCTCTGTGGACATTGCAGCTCAGAAAGGAAAGGAGAGCCACTCCCGGTCATGCACAAGCTGGGCCGCACGTGGCCATGCACGCAGCGAGCTAGCGGCCTCCCGTCCCAGCTGGGCTGCTTGCGGCTGGTGTGACTTCCCTCCCTGGGTCTCAGATGGCCTCTGGGGTCCCTCCCAGATCTCTGTGGGGTCCTGGAGAGGCCCCCCGCCTTGTACCTCCCCTGCTCCTGTCCACACCTCTTATTCTGCCTCAGAACCTGGGAGCCCCAGCCCTCTCTGAGAGCAGGCACAGAAAAGCCACACCCTGAGCCTCTGGCTTCTAGCTCCCCACTCCAAGCCTCTCAGATCCTCCTTGCCCCTCCCAGTCTCCCCCCTCAGGCCCCTCCGTTGCAGGCCAGGGGGCCCCCTACCTGTGGTACATCTCATTGGTGGCCTTGTAGGTTGGGTTGATGGGGTCCTCATAACCCACTTCTGCTGCCCGCTCACGCTCCTGTGTCATGTAGGCCCCCCTCACCAGCTTGGCACCGAAACACCAGCCTTCCCGACGGGCCAATTCCACATCTAGCGACACGTTGTCATAGGCGTCCTGGAAGAGAGATGCTTGTGAGGGAGGCGACAGACCTCATGTGAGGCCTTGGAGACGCCAGACGGATTGATGGACAGACAGAGGGGATGATTATGGTGGCTGTGTGTGTTTGTGTGAGAATGTAAGTGTATGTGTGAGAATGACTGTGAGAATGTATGTGTGTGAATGTGTGTGCATGTGTGAGAACGAGTGTGTATGAGAATGTGTGTACATGTGTGAGAATGAGTGTGTGAAAATGTGTGTG